GAAACAAACCTGCACCTTTTTTTAACACAGCTCACCACAATGCAAGGTACGTACTTTACGGTGCGCTGCAGTGCAGGTCTTTATTTCTAATGACCCCCCATGTTAGCTCAAATTGTATACTTGTACATTAGATCAGTGTGCAATGCATTGCAGGAGCATACCCCATATTGGGTGGGACACTGTTGGCGAAGCCTCCCTGCAGGCCAACAATTAAAAAGTTTTTGCCTTCAAGTCTATTAAGAACTCAGTACCACTGGCATTCTGCATCCTCCTGTCAGCCAGAACTCCTACCACTGGCTCATAGAGTATGAATCTCCCTGCCCCCCAAGCACTGCATATTTTACTCTAAACAATCATACCTCCCAGCACCCCAACAATGCACCACCAGCCAGCACCCACCCCCTGCCACCCAGCATCTCTGCCACTGCTCACCCATTGGTACTGCTCCCTACTTGTTTTCACTACAGGGACTTGCAGAGAGGAGGATAGGCTGAGCCTGGAGTTTATGGGTGTTTGGTTCTTCCCATGGCCTCCTCTCATGATATCGCCCCCTCCCCAGTTCAGGCTGTAGGTGCAGATTATCTCCCAGAGACCTGAAAAATTGCTTCATCCACCAGGAGACCTTGAAGATGGTTTTCAAAACAGGGTGTCTCCATGTTTCTTAGGTGAATTGACAGCTATGCACTTGGCCACTAAGTCTCTATGGTCAGTCATTCCTTCAGACTCTTGGGACAATGTGCTCAGTTTTTGTTCCTGGGGAAAGAAAGAAGTCTGGGCTAAGAGGAAGAAGGCAGTCAAAAATGTAGATGTTTTTTAAAGCCGTTCACTGCTTCCATCACTACATAGCCCTTGCAATGTGGTAGCATCACGTAGAAGTCCAACATTCAAATTTATTCTTTATTTCTTTTACTTTCAAGGTAAGCATTTTATTTTATTATGGAGTCTTTTTTTTTTATTCAGTCTTCTATATTATTATTTTGAACATGCAATCTCTAGATCAGGCAGGAATTATTTATTGTATCCGTTATTACAATAAGTATAGGATAGGAAGGATGCAGAAGCACTGTGCTTAAGGGTGCTGTAAATTACACTTTAATGTTGAAAAATTATGTTTCTGCCCCTAAGCCATGAGAATAGAATTGTTGCCTACACATTAATTATAAGACAGTCCTGCAAAACATAGCTGGAAAAGGAAATGGAATGTCAGTAAGCATAACAGCAACAACCAATACCAATCAGCAGCTGCAAATAAGTCTTAGGATTTGTAAAAATGTGATGTCAATGTACCACTGTTTATGCATACATCACTTGTAAGGCCACATCTAGAATACAAGGCTATGAGAGATACAGCATAATAGATTTGTGCAGATTGTATATAAAGGAATAGATGACAACAGCTTGAAGAGTTTAACATCTAAACAGTGACATCTGAAATGTATCTGTGTTGTCAATACCAAGGGTCAATCACAAATATAACAAATTATACACAAAAGGAAAATAAAATGCAAATGATCTGCATATGATGTGGGTCTATGAATGCATAATTCATAATATTTCCAATTGAAAATGCAATCTGTTGAAAGGATGCATGTTATATGTATGTATATAAAATATGGTATAAAGGTTTACTCTGTTTAAGTTACTTATTTATAACATAACGGCAATACATTTTTCAGACACTTTACCGAGAACGTTATATTTGCATGTAACTATTTGTCAATTCCTGAGTTTTTCAAGCATCTTCTACTATACCAATGTTGTGCGTTTTTTTTCAGGCTAGCTGGGAAACTTTTGTGTTTGGATGGTGAGATCAAACAGTAATGTACCTTGATCTTGGATTTCAACTTGTATCTCTGGACATTTTCTATGGCTCTTTATCTACCATTCCAACCATTATCATTACCATTATCCTTCTGTTCAACCAGGGGTTACATTTTCTCTTGCAGACATGTCCAAGGAGGTTGGCTTCATGGACCTTAAAGTGCATCTAAACACAAAACCAAAAATGCTAACATATTGCAGCTTACTGATCATTCCATTTAGTGGCTGCATTCATTTTTCTTTTTTTAAGCTTCTATGCATTCATTTTTTCACCTGGGGATCTGGCAATTTAATTTTCAACTTTTTATAACAGATTAAGCTGCCCAGCAAAAATAGCATGTAGAGGGTTGAGACAATCCATTTCAAAAGGAGGTAAAGCCGAGCTTTTTTTGGGTCACAAGAGTACAATTATTAACGTACTCCTGTGACCCAAAGTCAGCATATTGTGGCTTACTACCCGCTATATCGCTGCAGCTGGGAAAGATAATATTGTCAGGATCAACCCCGCTGCCTGATTGACAGCTGACTCTGCCTCTCTAGAACCCCTCCCGTCTGTTCCCAATGCGTGTTGGAGGAACAAAGAGGAGAGGGAGGAATGGCGATAGTGATTGCTCTTTGCAGGAAGACGATTGTGAGCTGAGCGAGCAGTGGCTTGTGATCACTTAACCCTCAGTATATAGAGCCAGCGTGTGACAAGGAAAGAACTGTTGCTGTAACTACTATTTAAACTGTTCGCTGGAGTTCACCTGATTTGTTAGTCCAATCCATCTAAACCTGCTTGTGCGTCTAAAGGTGCCCATACACCTTACGACCATCGCAAGACTCTTGTCTTGCGATGGTCGTATGCTTATTGAAAGCTCGTACGATCTGCCCCCTTGGACGGGCAGATCGTACTTGCGATCATCGAAAGCCCACCCCGCTGAGGGGCGGGCTTCCGATGACCGCAATGCAGAACGGGCAGTGTGCGCGTGCACACACCGGCCCGTTCCCGCAGCTATCAGACGAGCAGGCTAGAAACCCGCCGACAATCGTACGATTCTCGGCGGGTTTTCGAGCATGTTGGTTCGACAAAAGACGTGCGACCGTACAGTAGAAACGGTCGCACGTCTTCGTTCACACTGCTCAATTCTCGTACGATCGCGGGATTTCGCCCGATTCTCGTATGAGAATCGAGCAGTGTATGGGCACCTTAACACTACCCTCCCCACAAGTTGACAACGCTGCTGTCCAAAAGTGGCTCTGTTGATCCCCCATAGAGCGAAGCCCCCCTTCAGACAGAAAGTATGTTGCTGGTCGGATCACCAGGTGAAAATAAAGGGAAAAAAGCCTGAAAAAAAGAAAACGAATGCAGACACCACATGCAATGATTGGTAAGCTGCAATATATTATATTTTTGGGTTTAGATATGCTTTAAACTTCTAAATAATATTCGCAACTGTAGTCACAGGAACATCAAGCTGACTGATTACGAGATTGAAGACATGTGTGATACTAATTACAAAGAATTGTTGGAAATATCACTGTGATTCAATTATTTAGAATCTTGTCTAGAGGTACCAACAAATCCACCCAAGTTATTTTAGAATATATTTGTAGAATGAGCAATATATCTCTTTGCACGCTTTCTTTATTTTACTAAATGACATACCAATGATAGGCAGGTATACATAAGACAAATAATCTTAACGGAAACCTATACATTGAGAGCAATACAAAAGACTGTCATTGCTGATAGCACTCTGAAAACAAAAAAAGTTTAAAAACTTGTAAAGCTGAAAATAACTTACTTAGGTTCTTACCATCCCCATGGATACCCCTGAAATCTGGTGGCATGGGCATCTACATTTTCTGCCCTAATTATAATCCACCACTGTTGACATACTACAAAAAATAAGATTACTACCAATACTGAACACAAAGAACATGTAGACTGCTTCCCTCATGTGGCCAAATACAAGAAGTTATTTGGTTATTATATTTGTAAGGGTTTTAATGGCTGCTTCTCAACAACGTTTCCCCCCCATACGGGTGGGTAGGAATACAATTTGATGCATGTTAGTAAAAATGGTAGAAGCAAACCAGAAACCCCTGTAAGTGAACCTGAAAGCAAAGCTAAAATACGTAGCCACTTAGTATGTTGTTACAATGTAATAGTAGCCATTTTTAAAAAATCCCCCCGACAAAAAAAAGACAAAACAGCGCCACTCCTGACAAATGTTTTTCTTCAGAATTTTTAAAGAGCCCAGCAATACTCCCGCATCCTAGTCAGCATAGGTTAAATATTCACTGGGGCTGAAATCACACCCTGCTAATACCTGTTTAAAGGCATTATCACAGACAGACCATCAACATGGACAGAGATGTCACTCCTTTTATCCCGTCTGTTGGCAAAAATCCAATGACCCCTCACAATTATTTGGAGAGAGGCAGTAACCAGAAACAACACAAAACAAAGTGGTACAAAGTACACTTCCTGAATAGATGTTTTCAAAGAATTTTAGTCACACATTTGGTAGAAGTGCGCAGGGTTGTCATAAGGGCTGTTATGTAACCAGTGCTCGGAAGAACAGGATTAGCTATACAGTATAATTCTCCCCTTATATAATGTCTCTTTTCCTTTTTTGATAACAATTAGAATACTGAACACAATCCTGATGTTTTAAAGAGTACACTTCTTTCAACCTAGTTTCAATTTCTTGCCTTCAGTGAAGGCTCCAATGTTGGATCTAAAAGATTCCGACTCTGGTCGCCCATCAAGTGAGTGGCTTGATTTATAGCAGGTCACTCTGGCACTGTTTGGCTCATTTTGCAACTGGTCTTTTTCATCCCCTTAGGGAGATGGAAATTTACCTCACTTACACCTTTGTTTCTTTCTGCTTATCGTCCAGTTTATGGCTCAGCCATTTTCAGTCCCATATTGTGTACCCTACTTAGTGAATCTCTGTTTATTCCCTGCATGTTCCTACTTGTTTCTCTCTGCATTTTATGGTTTCTGTCTATACCTTTTCTATTAGAACAGTCTTCCTGTACTCCAGTAGCACGTTAGCAACATCTTTAGTTCTATAAGTATGCAAGAGGTATTTGGTATTTTGGGCAAAACTATTATTACAAAACAAAGATAAAATGGACACATTCCACAATTTGTGCATTATTTATGTAAGTAAAAATGCATTTAGTCCTCAATATTATTCTTGTAGTTCTTCATGAAAAAAAATCATTTCTGCCAGTTTTAAGTGAGATGGTTATTTATGCAAGAGCTGGGATAAAATACTGCAGGGAGACATCATCGTGAAGTAGAATGAAGTGGACCATTCGTTTATGAACAATATCTGCAAAAAACAAAAGCAAGAGAGAAAAGCTATCTGGTATTTTCAATGTAACAGAATGAATCAATCTATGATACCAATATCACATACTTAAAAAGGTGTGAGGTTATGTCTTGATTTACAAAAAAGATTTAATCACAAGGGGGTCTATTCACGAAGCTGCCGAAGGATCTAGCCTTCGCTTCGGCTAGCTTCGGTTACGGGAGTCCATCGGTTAATTCGAACCGAGAGCCTGCTGTACGGGCTATTCTAGCCGATGTACGGCTGATTTCAGCCGATGTACGGCTGAAATTAGCAGTACCAGCCTGAAGTGAATAGCCGAACAGTGTTCGGCTCACTTCACTTCAGATCGGTCATTCACTCGGCTGCCCTCGGCAGCTTCGTGAATAGACCCCAAGGTCTCTTCTGACCAAAACCAAACTAGGATATGAAAACTAGAGAATTCCTGGCCGGGAAACCATTGTCATGATGCAGAGAATTGAGTTGATGACTACCTGGTGTTCTCTGCTGACATCACTGACTATGATACCATAATACGAATATCAATGCCTATTACGGCAGGTATTACATATGACTAAATATAAAGGATCACTCTTTCGGTGTTCACGTATTTCAAAGCAACTAGCAGTTTCAACACGAGTGCTAGGTCTCCTCATGCAGGACAAAGCTTCTTAGATTTTCTAATGCATGCATACAATAAGTCAGAAGTATGAAAGTGCATACATGCAGGCTTATTTAATAAGACAGTTCAAAGTACAGTGCTTAAGTCAAAAGTACTGTAGCCCACAGAAACAATCTGATCTCAGTGTATTACGGTCAAATGCGGATACAGGTCATATACAATTGGCTGCTGTAAGTTATAGCGTTTTTCAAACACTGCATTTTGTGCTACCTCATTTAAAAATGATGTGGTCATAAAGAGATGACGAACAATGGAAAACAACACGAGAATCACGGGGGTGGTGGGTGGGGGGTCTGGGAGGGGGTGGCGCGACTATATACATTTTTAAAGCATTACTTACTACATATGGCTTTGTTAGGATTTACTTGCTGCCCTGCAAGAAACTGCAGTAATTTTCGAATGTCCACTCTGGCTTCTGACATGAACTCTGGGTCTTTTTCCTGAGTGCTAGTCTGTGAAACATCATCTGAGACTGCAATAGAAAGAAACAGAAATAGCGATTTGGTACCTGCAAAGCTATTTGATCTTTTTATTGTTGAATTATAAAGGAATCACTTTATACTGGAGCAATTTATTGATTTCCATATATTTTACAGCTTTGCTGAATTTAATAGATAAACCCCAGACCTTTATAGTTTAACTTCAGCCAAAAACGCGTTTGAATTTTTTTTTAACCACTTCAAGACCAGGTGTTTAGACACCCTTCCTGGCCAGGCCATTTTTCAGTATTCAGCGCTGCAGTACTTTGACTGAAGTTTATTCCGTCATGCAACGCTGTACTGAAATGAATTTTATACATTTTTTAGGGACAGATAGAGCCTTATTTTGGTGGTATTTAATCACCACTGGGGGTCTTTATTTTTTACTATAATTAGGAAAAATGTAAAAAATTTTTGAAAAAAAAAGTTTTTTTTTTACATTATGTTAGGAAAAATTTATTATTACCCAGTTTTTTGGTAAAATATAAAAGTCAGGGTCACGTCGGATATATAGACACCAAACATGTCAAGCTTTAAAATCGCGCGCACCCGCGAAATCGCAGAAAAATACCATACCCAAAATTGGCCATAGGCTACAACTTTAAAAGCTTTTACCGGTCATCAGTTTAGTGTTATCAGTGATTGATGGCCCTAGACTTATTGCTCTCACTGCGACGTTCGCGGCGATATGTAACATGTGCGGCGTAATGGGCGCAATCGTCCTTTTTGCACGTATGGGCCCCCGACGCATGTTTGCATGCGTGTATGTATGGGTGGGGACTTAAAATTTTTTTTGTTTTTTTATTCTTTTTTATGTGTAACTTTACATTTTTTTGGGGGGGGAAATTAAAATTCTTTTTTCCTTTTTACTAAACTTTATTGCTATCACATACGGGGCTAATAAAAACCCCTCTATGTGATAGCAAAATATTTTTTTTGGGGGGGGGGGGGGGGGAGGGAAACTGATCGGCACCCCATACACGCGATCCGCCGGCTCTACAGCCGGCGGATCGCTTTTATGGTAACAGGCATCGCTGCCTGTTTAAATTTCGGCCGTTTCCCGCTCGCGCGCTCTAGAGAGATCAAGTGGTTAAATATAGTTTTGCGTAGAGTGAGTAAACGGGTAGAATCAGTCAAACTGTCCAAGGTCTCCTTAAATCATTGTGCTCATCTGGACAGGAAGTGAGTAAAAATCTTTAATGAAAATAAAGACTGCAAAAAACAAAACAAAATCAAGGTCCTAGCCTTTCCTTATTATTTTTTTTTTCTTAAGGCAGGAGTATTTGTCTGTCTGTGTCCTTGCCGCCTTCATCACAGTCTTCAGATTAGGAAGTGAGGGTAAATCTTCCAAAAGGGAGAGCAGTGAAAACTCACAGACGTCCTAACCGTTCTCTTATAAGATACATTTTCTGCACACCTGCTATGGGTTGGCTATACTTGAACTATAACAGAAGCAAAGCATTTCATTTAGCTCTCGATAGAGTGGTTAGGGGTTAGAATTTCGGTCTTGTTTTTATTGCCGCTTGCCTCACTTTTTGTTGAGTTTGCAGAACAGTAAGTCTCCCTGATAAGACACAGATGGCAAAATAAAACCTGACAGTGGTTTAAACCCTCCTTTACTCTGTAATTTTATGTGAGACCATTAAGGGACACAGCTATATGGCTACTAAGCTTTCAAGGGTTATACTGCTGCCTACAGGAGAAATTCACTATAGGCACATAGAAACTGAAGGACAGCCCCCTAGCATTTATAACCCCCCTCACCTGCACAGTTTTGTTGTGTATCCTAAGCAGTGTGGATGTGTTTTCTCTATTTTGAAGATTTTTCTACCATCAGCAACAGCTGGTAGATTCAGGTTAGATACTGAAATCCTGGTAGTCTCTCTAGTCACCCAACTAGTTCAGGTTTTAGCAGTTCGTTCTCTCTCTTCCACAAACTCAGGACCCACTTTTCACTTTATATTATACGCAGCTGCCGCACTTTTTATTATTCAGTCACTTCCGTCTGTGACGTCGGCAACAGCTGAGGCCCTTTTTGCAGTAGGGGTGCTTCATATTTCTGATTCTGTCAGGGTTCCTTTACAATATTCATTTTCACATGCTAATTCCCTTCCTTTACTAGTGGAGGACATTCATGCATTCTGAATTGCACTCCCCTAAACAGAAGCACACTGCTTCCTTTCAAATCTGGGAAGCACATTCCACTTTAACATTAAAGGATACCATGTTCCTTCCTTTAACATGGTGTCTGGCATGAGGCCTATTAAACCCAAACATTCCATCAAGGGGTTTCCTCTTCAACACATGCTCGCATCATTTTCCAAATGTTCTCTGTTTGGTCAAAATCCCAAAGTAGTGATAGCGTTCACACTCGGGTGACCCCTTCTCTGTTTAGACCTCTTCTTACCCCAGTTATGCACAGCTAAGGAAACCTTCTTATCTTGCATCAAAATGTTCCATTTGTGCCTCCAAGTCAGGTTAAAGTTTTCCACAAGTTTTCTTTCTGAGCATTCTGAGGTAGAAGGTTTAGCTCTTTGCACCATCAAAGGTCAGGTTAAAGTAACATTTTCTTAACAGAAATATAGGGGCAGCTGTTAACCCAAATAAACCAAGATTAGCATGATATTCAAGCAACAAACATTTGCAGAATGAAAAGTTAGCTCCAAGGTTTCCTTCAAAGTGTGGCTAAAGCCAAAACTTTTTTTTTTTTAGGATATACTGGTGTTAGGGGTTGGAGCCCATGTCACATTTTAATTGTGCTCTGTGACTCTGATTTACTGTTTTTATTTGTCCTGGTGAGGCAAAATCTAAAATATGATTTGTTGCTGTACATAAATACTGGGTAACAGAAAACAATCTACCACATATAAGGGTGACAGCTGTCTAAGGGGGTATTTCCCTCACTTTGGGAGAAGAGTCTGTCCAAGTCTCTCTGGTGCCTTTTAAACTGCACTGTAAATTGTTAAACTTTAGCCACAGATTCACTTTAAACAGTAATTTGATGTGCTTTGCAGAAGCAAACTAATTAATGACTCAGGCCTTGTTCACACCGAATGCGCTAAGAAACTTCTCCCCGCCTTCTGGGGCGGGAGGGGGCGTGGCGTGCACTGAATTCAATGGCACCGCTTCCACACCCCCCCGCCTGCAGTGCGATCGGATGTGTGGCAAACGTTCCACTGCAAACGCAAAAAATAGGGCTTGCTCTATGCAAATTGTCAATGCAATGCAAATTGTCAATATAAGCACTATTTAAAAAAATAAAAATGAAACCAGATGTTTTAAATCTAGGGGCTCGGAGAAGATTTGGATCACCTAAAGAATATGCAAAATGAACCTTTATCTCCTTGTAGTGCTGCAGGCACAATAAATCTGCCTCTCTGATCCCCTTCTGTCACTAGAATAAACTGCCTGCACATAGTTTGTCCACTAACTCAAATCCGCTAATTTTCACATTAGAAATATGTATTCACTGCACAAGGGTCAAATCTGTGGACCGAGGCAATGGAGTAAGAAGGATAATTTACTTTTTACATTTTCTTCACCTAATCACGGAGCACATAGAGCTCTTTGTCGAATTAACCTTTAATGAATTTTGAATGAATATTTTATAGCACTTTCCCATCTCCCCAAAAAAGGAACAGTCTGCATTGTCTGAAACAGACCATTTTGATTAATATTAAATCACTTACCCCAAGGAGGATTTCCCAGATCTTTGAAGTGAGTTGAAACCGATACTAAGTCAGTCTCTATTTTTAAGTTAATTTCTCCATTTCTATTTGCCTCAATAACCTTTGGAAAATATAAATATAACAAATATTATAACATGCTATAACAAGTACTGTTATATATTATAGGTATGACAAACAATAGTGATCACATAAGCTTGGCTAAATACGGGCAAATGCCTTAAAGAGATATTGGGGTTGGTTCACTAAGGAAATGGTGTATGTTTACTTTCCAAAGTGAATTTTCACTTATCTTACTAAATGATGAGTCAACAAATAAAAATGTACTTTGCAAAAATGCCCAATCAGATGCAGAAAAAAAAAAAAAAGTCAACCCATTCACTAAGCTAATAAATAAAATTGACTTTGCACAGTAAACATTGCTTATTTACTAAATAAAACCTACTGACTCCCACAAGACAAGCAGCACTAAGCCTGGGTTCACACCATGGCGGCATCAGGTTTATGCGCATAAATCAAGTTGCGCGTTTCTGTGAGCAGATTCTAGCTCATTGATGGTAATGGGCAATGATGCACGAAGCACACGCAAAAACACAGCAAACGTGCGTTTTTAAGCTTTTTATATTTAGTCAAGCTGTAATATGCCAAAACAAGCCCATGTATTTTTCCAGCGACAGACATTTTGCTTATTGTGACAAAACGCTCAGATGTAAACAGAGGCCATAGAAATCAATGGTTTTTTTTGGGGCATATATTTTGAGTGTTTTTTAGGGCAGAATATTGCAATCACATCATAAATGTTATAGGTGCGTTTAAGGTGCGCTTCAATTGACATGAATGGGGGTGGTTGATAAGCACACAGCCTGCCAAATTTTACATATAGGATCAATTTAGACACCCCCCAATGCAAACCCTGCACAATTTTTAAACGTGTACTACACAGTGTGCTGTCCATTTTCACTTTAGCATGAAGCGATGCTAAGCGTTCGGTGAGCTTTAAAATAATGCCTGTTCTTGCAGCAGTTTGGCCTGCAGACTTTCAACATATTTTGTTTTGATGAACCAGGAAATGTATTAAGCTGATTCAGACTGAAAATTCAATGGAGCTTAAACATAGGTGCAAATAATGGGAAAAGATGGACATCCCAGAGAGATCCAGCTGCACATACTGTATGGTAGAAACACACAAGCTTGATAAAAGGTGGATAATTCCCTAATTATGTCACTGCTCCATCTTCCCACATTTTATTAGATAAAATGAAATAACTTTTAAATGTGTGAACAGGCTAATGTAATCAGTCAGTTTTGTTCTGTGATTAATTATACTGCCTAATAACACAACTAAAACTAGAAGGAGTTAGTCACATTCAACTGAATGTATTTCTCAATATTTTCAGCATTTGACATTTCCACATAATTTCTGAATACTTATCTGCTTCCTTAGTTTTGTGAACTGGAAAGCCAGTGTCCCAATATATTTACACACATAACCTCAACATATGGAAATAGTTCTTCCACAACATATGGAAATAGTTCTTCCACAGGAACTGGCTCTAACTATGGGGTCCAACATTTTTTGCAGTTTTAGATTGCCAACGATACAGGAGTGCATATTGCAATGTACTCCTGTAATCAATAGTCCAGCACAAGCCTGTTATTTAACATATTAGACACTGGGCAGGGCTAAGCCCCACTCTGCTCTCCTCCCTGTGATTGACAGCGCATTTTATGAGCCGCTGTGCGTTCATGAATATACGCGCAGGTATAGCAGCTCTATCCCTGCAGCCCTATCCTTGCCTCCGTCTTGTTCCTCACCTTCCCTCCACACGCTGCTGTCTCCACCTCTTGTCCCTGCCACCCCGTCTCCATTGTCTGTCCCCGCCTTTTCTCCAAATGCTGCTTCTGGACTGAGCCTCCGCCTCCCACGTGACAGCGTGCATGCTCTTGTCCCAAACCAAGGTGAAGGCGTGGCTACACCGAGGCTTGTGGGCTTGAAAAAAAGCAGAGAGAGGGTTGCAATGCTTGTCCACCACCTAAGAAGAATCAAGCTGGGCAGTCCCTCTGGAAGTCTGCAATGCTATTACTAGTATAAAAGGTAATGAGTATGTTTATTTTGCTTTATGTCAGAATTCTCCTTTAATATAAGTCCAGATGTATTTTTAGATGCACAAAATATAACAGAGTTATTAGTATTTGTAAGAAATTGTATTGTAGAACGTTAATCCGGGGAGTATTCCAAATGCTTTTAGAAATCCAGAATATTCTACTCTACTCTAGAATATTCTATTCTATGTGTGAACAAATTGGACAGAGGTTTATAAGTTGTTGTTTTTTAATAGTACATTATAGTATAATGTACTATTGCTACATTCCTCTATAGCTGCTGGTATTCTGCACTGCGCCGCTGTATAATGTACTATATTGCACACCACACTTTTTTTTTTACTTCCACCGCGCCAAGCTTGCTCCCGTGATGGACTACAATCTTAACACAAACTAGTCGTCAATCACTGGAGCATTTTTTTATTTTTATTATCCGATTAACCGAACTTAATAATCGGCCAACTAATCGATTATGAAAATAATCGTTAGCTGCTGCCCTAGTTTTTTGCCTTTCTGTCAACTTTGATAGATGTGTGTCTTATTTCAACTCAACTAGAAATGTAAGTTTGTATTTCAATTCCATTCCTAAAACTCTAAATAATCACCAAGTGAGCAGAACTTACTATGAAATTGCTTAAATTCTTCATTCTCTCAACAACACTCTTCATTGTTTTAATTGCTGGCAAATATATGCTTACCTAAAATAAATGAAAACCAAAATATGAACTTCGGTCAATACAATAAGTGAAGGTTTTATACAAAAATAATAAAGTCCAACTTTATCTACAACCCCAATTCATAAAAAGTTGGGACGCTGTGTAAAATCTACATAAAAACAGAATGCAATGATTTGCAAATCTCAGAAACCCATATTTTATTCCCAATAGAAAATAAAAAAAAAACATCAAATGTTTAAACTGAGAAATTGTTCAATTTTAAGGAAAAATAAGGTGATTTGAAATTGATGGGAGCAACACAGCTCAAAAAAGTTGGGACAGGGCCATATTTACCACGGTGTAGCATCCCCTCTTCTTTTAACAACACTCTGTAAACTGAGGAGACCAGTTGCTAGAGCTTTTAGAGGAATGTTGGCCCATTCTTGCCTGATATAGGATTTTAACTGCTCAACAGTCCTGGGTCTTTGTTGTATTTTTCGTTTCAAGATGCGCAAATACTGTCAATTGGTGAAAGGTCTGGACTGCAGACAGGCCAGTTAAACACCCGGACTCTTCTACTATGAAGCCATGCTGGAGTTATAGATGCAGTATGTGGTTTATCATTATCCTGCTGCAATATGCAAGGCCTTCACTGAAACAGACGTTATCTGAATGGGAGCATATGCTGCTCTAAAACCTCGATAGATATTTCATCATTGATGGTGCATTTCCAGATGTACAAGCTGCCCATTCCACATGCACCAATGCAGACCATCAGAGATGTAAGCTTTTGAACGGAGTGCTGATAAAAAGCCGGAAGATCCCTCTCCTCTTTAATCCGGAAGACGCAGTGCCCATGGTTGCCAAAAAGATTGTCAAAATTTGATACGTCTGACCACAGAACAGTTTTCCACTTTGCAACAGACCATTTTAAAAGACGGTACTATGTCTGGATCATGTTCAGATATGGCTGCTTCTTTGAAGAACTGTGTTTACAGACAGTGATGTTGGAAGTATTCCTGAGCCCATGCAAATGATGTCCATCACAGATTCATGCCTGCTTTTAATGCAGTGCCATCTGAGGGCCCATAGATCATGGGCATCCAATTTTGCGTTTCAGCCTTATCCCTTGTGGACAGAGATTTCGCTAGATTCTCTGAATCTTTTATTGATATTACATATTGTAGATTATATATTTAAAGTCTCTGCAATTTTATGTTGAAGAACATTATTCTGAAATTGTTCGACAATTTTTGGGTGCAGCTTTTTACAGATTGGTGAACCTCTGCCCATCTTTATTTACGAGACACTGACTCTCTAAGATGCTCTTTAAGTAACACTTACTTTGTCAGCTTTTTGTTGCCCTGTTCAAACTTGACGTGTTGCTGCCATCAATTTCAAAATTACCGTATTTTTGTTCTTAAAAAAGGTACATTTTCTCAGTTTAAACATTTGATATATTTTCTATTGTGAATAAAATATGGGTTTATGAGATTTGCCAATCATTGCATTCTGTTTTACACAATGTATCAACTTTTTTGGAATTGGGATTGTAAAACACTGTTATTTGTTTTGTTTAGTATAGATAATAAAAGGTTAAACTCTCTGTCCACTTTATATTGCTGTCAGTGTCCCCTCTTTTTTGTGTATAACACAGACATTTAAAATTGATAGACATTCTAATCTTTACCCACTCTAGCCAAAACAAAAACAACAAAAAAGGAAGAAGAGGTGTTGGTTTGCATTATATACCTAGAGAAACACAATTAACAATGGTAATGGGTCAGATTTATCAAGATTTATTATTACATTCAGAGATAATAAACTGTAAAATGTATGTAAACATGGCAAAGGAGGGTAGAGTGGAAGTTACTTTAAATAACTTCTTCTGTATTATATGCCAGATGGTTTTTCATAGCTCTATAAATAAACTTGAAAAATGGCTGCAGAACAAGTAGGGTCAAATATGCCTGGATAGTTCTCTTGGACCCCCAGTGTGCCTGAGAAAACAAAACATAATAGATGTCACCAGCACTCGATGATGTGTGCAAGAAGTAAAGCACTTTTTATTAAATCGTTACATGCTTCATACAGCCAACGTTTCGGGGCCACGCAGGGTCCCTCATTCTGGGCGACATAGTGACCTCACTATGTCGCCCAGAAGGGACCCTGCGTGGCTTTACTTCTTGCTTTACTTGTTGCACACATCATCGAGTGCTGGTGACTTCTATTATAGACTGCATCTGACACAGCGCCATCCATGTTGTCACTTCAAGCACCAATCTTTCATCCAAGGGCTATACGCTTTATTGAGTGCAGGTGATTTTGTATTATTGAGAAAACAGCCACATGGCTGGAGCTTGTAAAAACTGTCCATTGGGATTAATTTTGTGCAATATAATATAACTATCGCTTTACCATATCACATATAACTCATTTATTTCAGTTTCTATGTTCAATAGCCTTCATTATTTTTTCAACAGAAGAAACACAGCTTCTAAACACTCTTTTTACTCTACAATTTTAAGTGTTTCAAAGTTTTCAAACAATTTACATTGTTTGGCGTAGTAATTTCTCAAATATGAATGTAGATAACATACAATATAGTAAGACCTTACAGGAGACCTTCGATATTTATAAACCTATAATACATATGGTTTGGTCAGTGATAAACTCCATACATAGAGAAAAATACAGTTCAAGAGCCAAATTATTTAACTATTTTCATAGAACTACATAATGCATTTAAGTTTCCTGATGCACAGGCTAGAGCATAACACACAAGGCAAATCTGTTTCTACTACAGAAGTAGCATACTGTTGAGATCAGACAGCTGTAAAGAATAACCAAAAGAGTAGACAACTAAGAGAACAGGAAAGCCAACGTAGATTTAGCGAACAAATGGAGTGGGAAAAGTTAATCTGCGAATAGAATGTACACTGCTATACTTTTTAGTTTTTATAACTTATACATATCTGTATTATTTTCTACAGGAATCCAATCTACATTACAGTATTGTTAGTGTATACAAAGACGTTCCAGCATCAAATCATCATTCAATACATTTGCTTTTTACCATTTGTTCACACAGACTAGTAACACTGTGATTAAAAATATTTTTCAAGTTTCAAAAAGTAAACATAGCAATTCACAGTAGATCATTAACATTTTATGCTTTCTCATCAAAGTAGCAGTAAGAAAACCTAAAAGGTACTCACATCAAAGTCTGGTACAGTAGGTTCTTTAAAGTCATTCCACAGCCTTCTGGGAATAACGCTCACAGGAATGTCATGCGTAACAATACGACTGCTGCTAGATAAAGAAGGCTACAAAAACAACAAAAAAAGACCAGTCTGAACTTTTGTTAATAAAGAATTACGTAGAAAATATACTAATACTCAAATAAACTTTGCTTATTTATTAGGTGTATATAATATTTAAAGAAATGTCATTTTTGGTCTGTTCTATTGTTTCATCTGAGTACCATCTGTGTTATTCCTTCTGATGTTGCCACTATGGGTTTGCCATTTGTTCCGTCTGTTTTATTTTTCCTTTTAAGGAAAAATTAAAAAAAATATTGCTGTCTACAGGATTGGACACTGGAAACAAAAAACAAAACAAAAACAGTAGGCCAGCCCAGGAAACCCCCCCACTTTCAGCATGCTATAGTTTTGTAGACAGAAGTACTAAAAGCATGATAAAAAAAACCAAGAAAAAAAAAAACCAGGAGGGGTGGGACCAGTGTCCCAAGCAAAGAGTACAAGCATTTTCCTCTCTTGTACATTGAGAGACACAGGACGTCTTTTGGGATGTGTCTCAAAAATGTCCAACTGGGGAGTGGGGAAACACAGCATTACAATTCCTAACAGCCCCAACATTAATAGAAAAAGGCTGGGGGCTGCCTGCAGCTCCAGAGCCACCCTGCGACAGCGCGGAATGTCTCCGCCCACACACCGCTCTGCCGGACTGTGATAGGAGGCTGAGCGGTGTGGGAGGAGACGCCGGCCTTTCACAGAGCTCTCCTCCTGCAGCGCTCGGCCTGCTATCACAGTTTCTCTCCTCCCCGCTGGGATACAGAGCAGCGCTCAGCGGGGAGAAAAGAAACCAGGGATGCGCCGATGTATCGGCAGAAAAATGGCACTTTCGGCATTATGCCAAAAGTGCCATTTTCGGCCGATATGTTTCGGCGGTCTATATATCGGTGCATCCCTACCTAGAACCCACTCAGATTTACGAATCGCTCCCCCATGTATAGATGTAATCATTTGGGGATGAGGGCCTACAACATGTCCACACCTGAGATGAGAGTAGCAAACAGGACAAGAAAATTAAGTTCTTTCCAGGTCAGGATCTCTTGTCGCAGAGAGATCCCCTGTTCCACCTGGTTGAGGCACCCCAGCGCCATGGCACTGTCCAACTGGGGCCAGGCCAGGTGACCTGCCAAGGGGATGATCAAATGATATAGAAAGAACCACATCTCCTGAAATTCCAGGATGCAGACTAGCAGGGTTATTCACAAAAGATACTTGGGCTTCCCTGAACTTCCTGGTTACGGGTAGAGGGCAGAGGAGCCATAGGCTCCTTTTGCTGTCAGATAAGCTGTAACTGCAAGGGTGGGGGCGTGGCCAGCCGCACGCTGTGTGTTATTTATGGACACACACAGCTAGGTGCGGGCATGGCCATGATCGTGCACGTTCAGGTTTCTTCACAGCAGTCGGCAACTGATGGAGGCATCCATACATGGGGAGTGGCGCTAGCGATCTGGATACCACTAGAGATTGAGGGGAAAAAAAGTTATTATTTATTTTTTTACATTTGGCCCCCAAGTTACAGCCAGAATAGGGTAAAGGGAAGGCAGGTAGGCACTCCTCTACCCTCAAAGTATTTTAAGGTGGATCACTTGCAGATCCACAGCGGGAGGAGACCACAGTAACAAAATCCTTTCCAAACAAGCACAAGTCTAGTAAGTGTGTGGGATTGGGAGGGGGGTGTAATGCAGAGCTGTGTCTAATCCAATAGAGCAATACCTCAAAGTGGGTGCAATGGGAAGGTTTTTGCAGTTTCAGGGGATCTCATAGAAAAATTGAGACAGCAGTCTAATCCTCCAGTTTCAAAGTTGTTTGCACCACATTAGTAAAAGTTGAAACAGTGTCTTATTTTATCAGCTACAGATTAAATAGACTCAGAATCAGATATAGTGACTGCTGGTTTAGAAGCCACTAGGGCCATGAGAAGATCAGCCATTGAATCTGCAGGGGAAGCCATGGGGAGAGCGTGCATAAGTCTCTGTGCTAGATAGTGGTAGAATTGGGCCACAAGGTTGTATGTGACTGTGGTAGGAACCCCAGCCGAAAAGGTAGAGGACCTGGTACCACTCCACGTAGATTGTGGGGAGACCAATGACAAATTAGACTCTATGAGCAGAGGTAACAGGAATCCAGGTTGCATGCTCCAGCACCTTCAGAAGGCATGAACAAACATCCCCGGAACTGTTAGTGAAGTGTGAGATGGAGTCTTTGGTTGCAGCAGGACTGTTTAGATACAATTGTGACCATGCAGTAGAAAGGCAACTTAAGCTCAAGATACAAGGCAATAGTTCAAGTACTCAGAAAACCAAAACAGTTGGTTTTAAGTAAGAGTCAGATAGCTGGATGTGACCAAGGTCACTGTAGGCAGGCAGCAAGAACAACCTGGAGATCTGAGTTCCACGTGGCTCCTCTGCAAGCAGGGGCAGCAGCAGGGAGAGGCTTCTTAGATGCCGTATGTCAGGAAAGAGGGCAGAGAACTCTACCCTGTGTACAATGTTAGAGCACAGTCCCACAGCATGAGCCCCTTCTGCAGTGAAAAGCAAAGTGGAGAGGGTGTGGAGAATTTAAAGTCACTCTGCAATCTATGCAAACGATGTAGCTTTCACTGCTCGACAACATCAATCTACTCACACAGTGAGTCTTCACAGGGCAAGAGCTGAGGCAATGCCAGAATCTATGGACCAAAAATGCTCCGGCTAACTTGTTCCCAGAAGGGAAAGCACCTTACCTGACACCCAGTGCCTGAAGGTCACTTCAAGGCTAGCCCAGCAACATCCAGTCCAGCGGGTTCAGACCTAGCACACAAAAAGCCAGGCTGTTGGTGGCTACATTAACAAGCTGCAATCCTTGAGACTAGCTCTAGCAGTGATATAGAGTAATGATTAAAGAAAAATGAAGTGCTATCCAAAACAAGTTAGTCTTAACAGCAGAGCTGGTAAAAAGAAGAACAATCAAAAATCTTTATTCTTGACAAACCTACACTTTGTTTGCCTGTTTCCAATCCTCCTGTAGTTTAACCCAAAAATTAAAGACCTCATGTGTCCACCAATTGACGACACACATGTAATTTCCTGTTATTTAAAAAGAGTGGCAACAAAATATAAAATATTATGTAAAAAAGGGTATATAATAATTGTATTAGTAGTATTTTATTGTTTACACAGAACCATTGATTCTCAAAGCAGTTTACAACGGGGTATACAAAAAACATGCATGCATTTTAAGACATGAAACAGAAAAAGACACTTATTTAGTGGCCTATTTGTGAAGAGCTCGCTAGACATTCATTTGTCTGTATGTTACAACATTTGGCTATCATTTTTAATAGAGGATTTACCATAAATTATATAACTTTTTCAAAGAGAATTCGCCCATCAGCATACAATATAAAAGAGAATTTCCAATTACAAGATTCACCTATCAGCAGACCACTTAATACATTCCAAACAACATTCAATCACACATTTAAATGCAAGTATTCAAAGTTTCGCCCATCTGCTGCTGCATTACACGTATAGTTAATCCTATGACAACCAAATGCTGTAAAACACAAATGAACGAACGTCCAAACATTTGCTGTGCAAATCCTGTATAGACAGACACCTAAATGTGTGGAAGTACTGCTTGTTACAGCTTAGAAATCTATAAATACAATAGCATAAGACTAAGCAGTAATGCACATATCAAAAGTGTGCCTTGATAGATAAAGTGACACTAAACTCAGGAGTTAGATCTGAAAAATACATTCAAGTACCTTAATATTCTCCGGAGTTTAGTGTCACTTTAAAGGGGGAACCTTGTTATTTAGGCCTATAGGCAGCTCATTATTTATGCCTAAGCCACCTAAAAATAGTGGGATGAAAGGCAGGCTTGTCACATGAATGTGCGCAGTCATGTTGGAACAGGAAGGGGCCATCCCCAAACTGTTCCCACAGAGTTGGGAGCATGAGATTGTCCAAAATGTCTTGGTATGCTGATGCCTTAAGAGTTCCCTTCACTGGAACCAAGCCCAACCCCTGAAAAACAACCCCACACCATAATCCCCCCTCCACCAAACTTTACACTTAGCACAATGCAGCCAGGCAAGTACCGTTCTCCTGGCAATCGCCAGACACGTCCCTCAGATTGCCAGACAGAGAAGCGTGATTCATCACTCTAGAACACGTCTCTACTTCTCTAGAGTCCAGTGGTGGCGTGCTTTACACCACTGCATCCGACGCTTTGCATTGCACTTGGTGATGTAAGGCTTGGATGCAGCTGCTCGGCCATGGAAACCCATTCCATGAAGCTCTCTATGCATTGTTGTTGTGCCAATCTGAAGGCCACACGAAGTTTGGAGGTCTGTAGCTATTGACTGCAGTTGGCGACTTCTGCGCACTTTGCGCTTCAGCATGCGCTGACCCCGATCTGTCATTTTACGCGGCCTACCACTTCGTGGCTGAGTTACTGTTCCCAGTTGCTTCCACTTTGTTATAACACCACTAACAGTTGACAGTGGAATATTTAGTAGCAAGGTGGCAACGGTACCACGCTTAAATTCAATGAGCTCCTGAGAGCGACCTATTCTTTCACAAATGTTTGTAGAAGCAGGCTGCATGCCTAGGTGCTCGATTTTATACACCTGTGACCATGGAGGTGATTGGAACACCTCAATCCAATGATTGGAGGAGTGTCCCGATACTTTTGGCAATATAGAGCATGTAGCGCCCCCCTGACCCCCAGAGGCCTGTTGTGGACCCCCAAAGGCAGGGACAGGCTGACATTTCACTCTCAGGGGTGGATCCTTAGCCGGGTTGCAGGATGTCAACAGTAAATTAGGCGCCAGTCACTTTAAGGACTTTTTAGATGCTTTATTAAAAAACAGTCAAACTGGGAGAGAGGGTATAGGGCTACAGACATCCAAGGCAAAAGTTGATTCCAGACGTACCAATCCCTTCCAGCTTCCACAGTGCAGAAATACTTTAGTTGTGCAGAGGATGACACTGTCTAGTTGGGCAACAGCTGAATAGAAGATAAGCATGAGATCTTCCCTTTGAGAGACACCAGATTTGTTCCTGAGGTCCATGTCACCCTGGCCTTCCTGGTACCTCCAGCAGTCTTAGGGCTCCTTTGGTTCTCCTTCTCAGCTAGTTCCAGACCCCACCTGGGTCCACCGGGGGCCCCCGCCAGGCTTGAGGCCTAGTCACCTTCTCCAAACTTGTACATCCCACCCACAGGCTAGGCCCGGGGGCAGACTGCCCGAGCACATAGCAATTCCTGAGTATTTATGCACATCCCCAGCATGCACCACTGGCCATGAAACTCCTTGTGATTGGCTGGTGAGGCATAGACACTCCTAATGTTCTACTATTAGCTGCTCCACTCTGTGGCAGGGTCACACCCCACTACAAGTAGGTGCAATCAATAGCAGAACACCTAGAAATGACCAAGTGATACCAGACTACAAATCAGCCGGACTGATTACAGTACTAGCAACACTAAATGTAAGTAGCTACTCCACTTGGTGGAAGAGGCTACACGTAATACTTTACATTAATAAATTACATAATTACTAGAGTTGAAGATCTTTATGTTACATCAATGTCATGTGTTGTAAAGTAGCCACCACTCCAAGCTTGCTCTTGTGATGGACTACAATCTCACGTTTAGTTTAGAATTTCAGTAACAATTAGTAGTCTATTACAGGAGTGAGCTTGGAGCAGTGGCTAACACACACAGGGACTATGGGGAACAAGAGTAGCCACCCTCCAGAAGGAAGGACAGCGTCAGCATGAATTCTGAGATAATTTGAGGATCTACAGCTGAGTGATACACAAATAAGATACATTTTATGTAACTATGCTGTACTATTCTACACTTTTCAGTAAATTTTTCTCGGTGCTTGAACTTTTTTTTTTTATTACAGTGATAAATATACCCTTTTTGCCTTAAATTGGTTCTGAAAACAACAGTGCACTTCCTGACATATGACTGCTTAGACACGTCTCTTCTGTAGACCAATAGTTGTATATCTGCTGTGTGAGACCATCAATAGCACTACTGCCTTTGACTGCTAGTCTGACACGATTTGGAGAGACATTTGCGGATGTGAAGCTTACTATTCTCCTGAGGGCTTGAAGGAGGGGAATCAGTACCTTAGTACCTGCAGTGCAAAGATCTCCCTGCTTTGGCAAGATTTTGTTTTGTATATAAGCGTTTCCTCCTCCTCTCCTGCTGCTTCTTGATTATTACCCCACCAGTCATAAAATCTCCACTTATCAAGGGGGTAGACAGCTCTGATATTAGAAAACAAAGCCCTCTCTACCAAGGTAGTTGCCTCCAAAAGAGAACAAGGAACGGTAAGTCAGTATACAGTCATAACCTACGTTCACCACAGTGTGTTTGCTTACCAGCTCTACTGCCACTGTAAGACAAGGGCAATGCTTATTTGTCAGCTTGATTTTTACAGCTTTGGCATTCTGCGCTGTTTTTAAAGCTCGAGAAAAATTTTCAGGCACCATCTCCAAATAAATCTCATTTTGCTCCGCAGACACACCTTCCATTTGATATTCATCAAAGAAATTTGCCTGAAAGGAAAATACATTAATTCTTAACCAGTGCCTGACAAGCTTCTGCAAACATTTTGACAATAAAGGGTTTTTGCTTCATTTCTATTACAGTAAAGAAGTTCACAAAAGATCTAGTGAAGTTGTTTGAGTAGGGTCTCTGCATTTGACCTCCTTCCCTCTTCCTGCGTACCTGCTCTGTGGTTTCAAAGTTGGCACCTCTTTTTCCACTTTGCTATTATTTTCCCGTAGATTTTTGGGGGTTTATTTCTAATTTTCTAACCATTAACATTTAAACTTTTCCAGCTTTATTAATTTTGTTCATCCATTGTTTTTATTGTTGCATTAAAAAAAGCGCAACACTGGGGAAAAAAAACCTTCACTTTCTTTTTAAATAATTTTGCAATGCTGGATTCAACATTTTAGTGCCATGTTAAAACAACAAAATTTATATTTTTTATCGAAAAGTAACATTTTTTTTCCTCTTAAAACTAACACTGTTCAAAGTAGGAAAAAGTGAATTTTTAAAGTTTTGTTACTTTTTTGACTATAGATATGCAAAGCATAACGAAAAGAAAGTCATTTCTATCTTTTTGCAAAAAAAGTCTGTGTCCAAGGGCATGCATTATAACTGTACATATGCGCACGTTCAGGTCGTCATTTAACCACATCCTATCAAAGAGTTTTACTGTACAGGTAGCTGCACGCAGCACTGTCTCTACCTGGAACAGGTCTCTGCACAGGCGTGCATGCAGTACGAATGCGTATGTCTGTGTGATTGAGGCCTAAGCCAGTTGTATTTATAGCCAGAAATAGGGGCTAAATGAAAAGCTGCAGAAAAATAAACAAAGTAACACTAAGAACTTCAGAAGCGAAGCTCTATATAGCAGGGACAGGGACTTGTTAATATCTGCTGCAGGGCTGAACGAGAGAATCACCTAAATCCAATAGACAAGCAGCCCCCACATCAGATTGGATACAGGCACCATTTTGCTGACAGGGCCAACCATGGCTCCAATTTTGTCCGTCAGCGACAAGCGGACAAAATTCAAGCCAAATATGGCTAGCCAAGGTGAAAACCATGTACACTTTCTAACTTTTTTCCACTTTATCTAAAACTAGAAAACAGAAATACTGTGGGGGAATTTATCACAGCAATTGCGAGTGTTTGAACTTGCACGGAATATATTTGTACCAGATTTATTAGGCTAGTATATTGTTGTTGATAAATGAGGTTTAATAGACTGCAGGAAAGAAGACTTGTAACTCCAGGCAAAAAGCTTAAAGGAGAACTATAGGGTAAGTGTCTTTCCCCATAGTTCTCCTAAGGGTCACGGGAGGACATATACTAGCGTCCTCCCATGACCCAAAGCTCAGTATATGGCGAGCTAGTTTGCAGTATACTGAGACCGCCGCAGCCGGGATGGATCCCGACATTACTGTCGAGATGCACCCAGCTGTGTGAGTAACAGCTGGCTCTGCCTATCTAGAGGCAGAGCCAGCTGTACCCGCCCCCTCCCGTTTCGCCAGTCAGCGCTGGAGGATCAGAGAGGGGAGGAATAACTGCAGGGAGCCGTGAGTGACAGTCACAGCTCTCTGCAGGGACATGATCGAGAAGTGGGCTAGCGACGGTATCCGTTCGCTCACTTCCCGATCTATTGAGCCGACATGTGAGTTTCATTGACACATGTCGGCTCTAACTATGAGGTTGAGTGAAAATCACTCACCTTATAGTTCTCCTTTAACTGTCGCATTTTGAAGAACTGGTCATGGGGACTTCTTAAGTTGTGTTTTCTTAGGTGATGCTCCAGTTTCAGACAGCCCAGAACAAGTGCAGATGAAAACAGGCGCAAAAAACATCCAACTGAAAAAGTAATGCAAGCTCCAGTCAAAACAGGTGCAAAACGCGTGCAAAAAACATGGTTGAAAAAGTAGTCCAAGCTCTGGTCAAAACAGGGTACACGTTGAAAGACAGATTTGCACACACAAAAAAAAAAAATTATCTAAGAGGCTAAAACAGTCGCAATTGCTTTGATAAATTCTCCCGTATGGCTAGAGTTGGACTTTAAAGAGACCCTATCACCACCCCCTGCACATCAATTTAGACATAGCAGGTAAAAGCGCTCACAAATAATAAGGGTAACTAATTCTTAACTTTCACTCCCCTGCTTATCTGAAATCTGTACTTATGTTTTAATCGCCTCCAAAAACTTCCAGGAGTGTTGAAGGCTGTGTGCTAGAAGCATGCAGCACAATGTTCTGGCAGAGGGAGAACATGCAGTCTATAGTGACAGTGTCTGCAGATTGTGCAAGGGATCCCTGGCTGCTACCAGGACCTTGCTTGGCTGGAATATTTTTTATTCATAGTCCAATTCCAGTTCTGGCAATTTCAGTAAAAGTTTGTCCCTCTGCAGCATGTAAAAATAAATATACAACTTCAGCTGCTATATTCCAGCAATTTCTATTACTTTTCCCACATCACTCACTTCTCCAGCTCTTCTTGTGGGTTAAATGATGCCCAGCATCATTAAGTACACATTTTTGTGAGCCCTGCATCATTTAAAGCGTATTTAAACCCAAGAACTAAAATGTAATATATTGCAGCTTAACAATCCTTAAATGTGGTAGCTGCACTGGTTCCATTCCCCCCCCAGACTTTATCACTTTGTAATTCTGCTAGGAATGCACTTCCTGTCGAAGGGTGACAACATTCACTCACCATGCTGTATCTGTAGAGCAGTGTTATCACCCAAGGACAAGACTATAGAACACCTCCTTCTCTTCCCTTTTCCATAACATGAAGACAGGTATTCTGTAGTACAATGTAACAGTGATCGAGCGTCTCTATAGACGCTTGATCGCTTGACTGTAAAGCTCCCGGCCGGCCGTGTAATTACAACGGCCGGCCTGGAAGCTGCTCGTCGGGCTCCACTGTCTGCTCGTCACAGACGAGCAGACGAGTGGATTTTCGAGCCCTGCCGATAACAGTGAAGCCAACGCAGAGAGCAAAGGAAGTTATCAACTCAGATTTCGGGCAGAATCAACAAGTATTTATTTTGTACTTTATGAACAGATATAACAAAAACACTTTTCATTTTAGATTTAAATGACCAAAAGGGAGCATAGCAGAAATTCATTGCTTGGGTTTAGATCCAGTTTAACCCTCTTTCTTTGAACTCAGGGTGTCAAGGCTCCGTCCCCCACCCTGGATTTACAGGAGTATGCTGCATACGGCGTCAATATATGGAGCTGCTCTCTGCAGCATTTACAATCAACCCACTGCCAGAAGTAGTTCGTCATCTAAGTCGGGATCCGCTCCGGCGTCTCAGTATACCGCGAGCTGTAGCTCGCGGTATACTGAGCTTAGGGTAACGGGAAGACGTTAGTTTGTGTCCTCCCGTTACCTTAAGGAGAACTATGGGGAAAAACACTGACCCCATAGTTCTCCTTTAAGAGGACACACAACATAATTGAACCAGGCCTCAGAGTTGAGTAAAATAATATAAATATATATTTTATTTTTTTTACAGCTACAGGTTGCTTTAATGGAGGCAGTGGGTAAATGTCTAAATAAATAGCAGTTTCCTTCAGTGGAAAAATGTTGCGGATTACCTGGCAAAGCTCACACCACATGCTGACACCTCCATTAGCCACTTTATCGGTGAGAATAAAGTAAAGGTTGCTGGGTGTAAGTCGTAAGGTGCATGACTTAGTCAGCTTTGTGATTGTGTTCAAAACCCCTGTAAAAGAAACAATAAAAGGAAAGCATGAAAAGATAGAACAGACTGCAACTGTTTTTACACAAGCTTTAGCTATGTTCCCCGATTTCATCCAAATATGTTCCAGTATAAGGGCTCATGCACATAGCCGTATGAAAATAGGAAGACTAGTACACAGGAACCTGCGTGGATCGCAAAGATGCCCTATTGGTTGCTTAGACACTAGGTGGTGCAAGCCACCAGTATTCTATCAACAGACGATGCGAAGTACCAATTGCTCAAGTGTCCACTATTGCTAGATGCAGATGGCCCCTTGCCGCCTAGCATTCTTTGTTGCTAGGATGCAGACGATTTGAGCCGCCGAGCATCCTTTGTTGCTAGGATGCAGATGATTTTAGCCGCCTAGCATTCTTTGTTGCTAGGATGCAGACAATTTGAACCACCATGCATCTTTTGTTGCTAGGATGCAGATGATTTGAGCTGCCTAGCATTCTTTGTTGCTAGGATGCAGATGGCTCCTTGATGCCTAGCAATACTTGTTGCTAGGACTCTAAGCGGCTCACAACATCTGCATCCTAGCAACAAAGGACATCCTTGTACAACACTCTATTACTAGTTCAGCTGTAGGGCTAGCCATACATTATACAGTCTGATTGTACAATCTGCTTGAGATCTACCATCAACTATGTAGTGCAATGGCCTGCCCAATCTGATACAAATGGAATGGATTGTTTAAGTTTGTGCTCATGTTACACAGCTTTGGTAAATCTAAAGGAGATCTTCTAATCAGATTGCATGGTTTATGGTCAACCTGTATAAAAACACAGCCATACATTAACCTGTCATTAAAATAAATAAGCACGAGAAGTAAATTCTAACAGAAGTGAACGTATCTATAACGAAGGACGCAAAGCTCTCCATAATGATCAGTCTACAGCGAGAACTAACACTAGACTACAATAAACCAATCACAATGAGTCCAAGCATTTGATACAGACGGGTGAAGTGGTTCAGGCAGCTGACATCTACGATCTTGCAGCGAAACCTCATGGCGACGTTAACCCCTTCCACGTACCCGCTGACACATTGGACTGAATAGAATGCTAAACATGCGATAAAGTTAGCTAGAATCCATAGACCGACGTGCTCCACAAGAGGAGATGACGTCACTGTCATGTGACCAAGTTCAACTTGTTCCACGTGACCTCCTGTTACACTGTATGAGCGGGAGAGGGATTTAAACATGCTGCTGAGCTTTATGGAGATGGTACTACGAGTGTGTGTGTTATATAGTGTATGGGTATACAGCCACCGGCTTTACAAATCTGAACAGAGTCCTGGCGGGAGTCCCTTGAGATCGTGAAGGGGTTAAATCAGAACTCTAGGTAGAATTTCTCTTAACCCTTGCAATGGGACATTGATCCTCTGAGCTGGCCAGTCCCTGAAGCCTCTGTCCCCCTCCGCTGCAGCGGTCTAGGGTCCCGTAATCCATCATGTTCTATACACTGTGTATAGACGTGAGAAAGTTAAGGAACATTCCAATGATGCAGCGGAGGAGGAGACAGGCTTTAGTAGCCAGAGAAGTGGGGAGCTGGCTCGGCGGTTCAGCTGAGTATAACTTTTTTTTTTAACACAGACAAAAACAAAGCACTTAACCTTTGCACTGCGGGGGTAGCTATACTACAAGGGTTAAGAACACTTTTGCCTGGAGTTCTTCTTTAATGTTTTTGTGTGCTCCTACTTTTCTCCAGCCTGCCTTTTTGTGCAATCTCACCTCCCTCCGTTATGCCTTTTTGTGCAATCTCACCTCCCTCCGTTATGCCTTTTTGTGCAATCTCACCTCTCTTTGTTCTGCCTTTTTGTGCGCTCACACCTCTCTACATCCTTCCTTTTTGGGCGCTCTCTCCTTTCTGCATCCTGCCTTTTTGTCCCTTCTCTCCGTTCTGCCTTTTTGTGTGCTCTCGCCTCTCTCCGTTCTGCCTTTTTGTCACCTCTCTCCATTTTTCCTTTTTGTGCGCTCTCACCGCTCTATATCTGGCCTTTTTGTGCGCTCTCACCTCTCTCCTTTCTGCATCCTGCCTTTTTGTCCCCTCTCTCCGTTCTGCCTTTTTGTCCCCTCTCTCCGTTCTGCCTTTTTGTCCCCTCTCACCTCTCCGTTCTGTCTTTTTGTCACCCCCGTTCTACCTTTTTGTCCGCTTTCACCGCTCTACATCCTGCCTTCTTGTGCACTCTCACCTTTCTTCGGTCTGCCTTTTTATCCGCTCTCACCTTTTCTCCGTTCAGCCTTTTTGAGCACTCTCACCTCTCTTCGTTCTGCCTTTTTGACCGCTCTCACCTCTTTCTCGCATTTCTCCATCCTGCCTTTTTGTATGCTTTTACCTCTCTATTTTGCCGTTTTTGTGCTCTCACTTGCCTGTGCTTCCATTTTATGTGCTTTCACAACCCCATTCTGCCTTTTTTGGGATCTTATCTCTCCATTTCCTACAGTTCTGTGTACTTTTAGCTTTCTCCATTCTTCCTTTCTGTGTGCTCTTACATGTCTCATTCATGTCTTTGTGCGCGCTCAACTCTCCCTTTCTTCCCTTTTTCCCCATTTTCCTTTTTTTGTGCTCTCACCTCACCACTCGACTTTTGTGTGTGTTTGTTACACCCCTATGTCTTCACGTTGCTTTCTACCTTTTTTTGTGGACTTCACTTCTCACTGCTTTCTTGTATGTTTTTAGCTCTCTTCTCTTGTGTGCTTTCCAGGGCTCTTTTCCTCTGTCTTAGTGGTGTGCTCTGCGGCAATCCTCTCCTCTATCTTACTTATGTAATAATGGATATTGTTTCTGAAATATTTGGAGAATTTATGCTTTTCCAGTGACGCACAATTGTCAATCTGGCTGCCAGTAGTATGTGGGAGATGAGAGCTCTATAGTAAGGGGGGAAGTTTTCTATTCCCACCGACAGTAGGCCTAATGCAGGTTCTGGAGGTGTCAAAATACCTGATACCAATGAAATTCTGTTGAATACCTGTTTCCAGAAGCTCGTAAGGCTTTTACACTTCCAAAGTATATGGTATCGGTTACCTATTTAACCGCAATTCCTCCAACGCCGTTGATGTAGAAGTGGGGTATATTCTATTCAGTTTTGCTGGGGTGAAATACCAGTGAAGGGTGATTTTATGGGCAAGCGCCCAAAGGTCGACACATTTGGTCGCCTTATGGGTAGAGGCAAAAGCACTCATCCATTGCTGCGGTGAAAAGGTGCTTGTAAATTCGTCTTCACACTGCTGGAGAGACCGAAATTTTGTGAATCTCAATTTTTTGTGGAGTATGTTATAAAATAGGGATATGCCCTTGGGGCCAGATTGCCGTGTGAAAAAGTAATTCCATGCGGGGATAGGGATTTCACATGAATCAAAAGTAAAATTACGGAGAGAATGTGAGATTTGGCAATATAAATATGCATCTCCAACTGGCAAGTGAAATTCCGTTTGGAGTGCGGGAAAAGTTTTCAGCTTAGTACCTGTATATAAATCATGAAGGGAAGTAATAACTTTTTGAACCCATGCTTTTAGTCTAGTTTCTGGGATTAATATTTCTAGGGCCTCCTATAGGAATGGTGACACTACGAAACGTTTCATCATGTTCTGATTTGGTGCGAAGAAGGCGCCACGCCACCAAGGTTGCTTCAGTCATGGGTGATATTCGGTCCATTGTAGTCGTCGGTATAAGGTTGCATAGTAGGTAAATAGAGGTATTACCCCGAGGTAGAAATTAGGCTTCTACTTCGCACCAAGGTTTAGAATATTGCGGGTTTAACCATACTTTAAGTTGGTCTAACAGCGTGGCTAGATAATAGTCTTTCAAGTCTGGATATCCCATCCCTCCTACTCGTCTGTGTTTCCGCAGAATTGATAAGGAGCATCTTGGTTTTGTCCCTTGCCAAATAAACTTACTGATAATACTTTGCAGGGACTTAAAGTAGCTGTTTGGAATGGGGATCGGCAAAGTTCTATAGAGATAAAGGAGTTGAGGAAGCTCAATCATTTTAAAGGTGGCTAATCTTGCTGACCAAGACAAGGTGTCTCTGTGGAGGTTGTTTAATAGGGTTTGCAGGTGGGCTAGGAAGGGTATATAATTGTGGTTGAATATCATGGAGATGGAGTTTGTAAGCGTACTGCCTAGCTATGAGAGGCCTGTGGGGTTCCACTGATATGGGAATTGAGACTGTAAAATCATCCTACTGGTAGTCGGAAGACCCAGGTCTAGAATTTGAGATTTCGAGTTATTGGTTTTGTAGTACGACACTGCGCTAAAGGATTCTAATACTGTGGATACCGCAGCCAGGGAAGTTTCTGGATTGGAAAGGAGTAGTAGAATATCATCCGCAAATAGACTGATCTTGTGTGGTTGTTGGTTGAATTGGAAGCCTGAGATCTGAGCATTGGATCTAATGGTCTCTGCTAGGGGTTCTGTGGTTAGGTTAAAGATCAATGGGGAGAGAGGGCACCCCTGCCTAGTGCCATTGGTTATAGTGAAGGGTTTAGATACTGCGTTCGATGTAAACACTTGAGCAGAGGGTGCCGAGTATAGTGCCATAATGGCAGATAGTATCCAGCCCAAGAAGCCAAACTTATAAAGGACATGTTGCATATAGCCCCAGTGCAGAAGCAGAGAGGGTGCCCTGGAGCTACGGGCATGATGTATTATATTGAGGACGCGACGTGTGGCATCAGGCGCCCCTTCCCTTGACAAAGCCCGATTGGGGGGAGAACTGTGTTTATTCTATTCGCTAATATCTTTGCAAATAGGTTTAAGTCCGTATTCAAGAGTGAAATGGGGCGAAAAGTTTTGGGGGCAATCAGGAGTTTTTCCCGGTTTTGGTATTGTCACGATAGTAGCAGTCAACATTTCAGGGGGGAAAAAAAGCAGAGGTGGAGGCCTTTTCGCACAACTGCGTTAGGTAAGGTAGGAGGATATGGTCAAAGGTTTGGTAGTACTCGCTAGTGAAGCCATCTGGCCCGGGCGCTTTATTGGTAGGCAAGGATTTAATAGCATTTTGTATTTCATGCGTCGTGATGGGTGTATTGAGGTTATGAAGTTGGGCATCAGTTAGAGTGGGCAGGCATATCTTATTCAGGAAGTTAAGAATGGTTGCATCTGAGGGTTGGGGAGTTGTTTGGTCATCCTTAAGGTTATAGAGGTCACTATAGTAGGAGCTAAACGCATCAGCTATCTCTTGTGGGTGCCATACTTTCTTCTTAGTGTTTGGATGGAGTATGTAGGGGATTTTGGTCCGCCCTCGTTGGGATTTGAGACGGTTCGCTAGGAGCTTCCCTGTTCTGCTACCATTAGAGTAGAAGTTAGCTTCATAGCGAAATAATTGGTTATCATGTTGCTCCAAAAGGAACAGTCTCTAAGGTCTGCTCTTAGTTTACCCAAGGCAGTAGAGGTAACCAGGGAGGGGTGGGGTTTATTTTGGGCTTCTAATGTGCGAATTTGAGAAAGCAGGTGTGCGAGGTGGCTGGCCCTCTGCCTTTTCGTGCGAGCTCCGATTTGCATCAGGAGTCCCCTGATAACAGCCTTATGGGCATTCCATAGACAATATATATCGTCAACAGAGGAGGTATTAATATCAAAAAATTCCTTCATTGCTTTTTCAATCACCTGTTTGTTAGTAGGGAGGAGCATTTGAGACACATTATTACGCCACATATAAACAGTAGGACATACAGAGCGATCAGATATAGAGATTGACACTGGCGCATGGTCCGACCACGTAATGTCGTGAATGTCATGAATCCGTGTCAATAGCTGTTTGTCCACAAAAATGAAATACATTCTAGAATAAGAGTTGTGTGGAGTTGAAAAAAAAGTGTAGTCCCTTTCTGAAGCATGTGGACAGCGCCATACATCAAACAGAGACTCTTCAGATATAAGTCGTTGCATATCCGGCGAGTGCCGTTTGGAGGGATTTGAAGAGTCCAGGCATGCATCCATAACCATATTGAAGTCACCACACATTATTACGAAGCCCTCTCGGAGCTCAGACAGCTTTTTGAACACTTTATGTAAAAAGCGAACTTGATGAGTATTAGGTGTGTATACACATACAATAGTATAAA